AGCTGCCCTCACGGCAACTAAATGTAAGCGCAACACAGTCCGCATTGCACCGATCGCCAAAGCCAGAAAAAATGGTGGACCCATCCTCGTCGCTCTATAAGCAACTAAGCTCTTCGTTATTGACCATCGAGAGCCTCCAGACAACATCTGAAAGCCTTCATTTGAACGTGCGAGTTGTACTTTAATCGTGTCCGAGCATAGGTGGTGTAAACGATACGACTATTAATTAAGACGAAGCGGTTTTTTTCATCAGATTGAAAAACTTTGCCGCTTAATTGCTTCCTTCGCCACTTCGAATACCTGTGTGGTTCAGTGAATGACATTTTTTATTTCCGGAACATTAGGAGCCACGGATTCTCTTTACCACGAACTCTCTTTATCTTGGCATCACTCTTTATCGTATTCACTTGATCCCCATCAGATATTTTGATCAAATATTCATTTACCGTGTCGCCCGTACGGCAGCGTTTAGTTTGTAATTGAGCCTTACATATTTCTTTATTAAAAGCAACGAAACGAACGCAAATGTATCATCATACATAATATTAATTCCGTTTATATTAAGCACATAACAGATTTCTGTATAAATGATATTTTTAATTAAATTAACCACGTGTTAATCGATTTTCATCAAACTTTGCCCATACTGCATAATACTGTACTGAAAAGTTAGGCGAACTTTTATTTTATCCTTGCGCGTGCTTTGAATATCAATTTAAACTTTAATTGCGTAAAATTGATGCAATTATCACTGACAACTAACAAAAACCTGATGTCATTCATGTCAGTTTATAAATCACATCATCATCATCATCATCAACGTACGTTGGCAATTTTTTAAAGATTGATTTACCCACCTCCCCTGTTTCTATATATCGCATTTATATTTTAAATGTCATGTGTCTTGTGCTTAATTTCATATTTCAATGATCGCAAATCCTTTTGCTCGCTAAAAAATATTTATAATTTATTCATTTCTCTTCCCCACACACTCCCTCTACATGCGATTTGCTCTCATTTGTAATCTCCAACTCTGGTTTATTTATTCAGCAGTACGATGACAATTTGCTCGAGTTAAGTAAAGAGCAATTGGCTAATCAAGCTGAGAGATATGGATAACTTTACAAAGTCCGCAATCCAAATTCCAATAGATGGACGAATTATCTGTAACTATATTTCCAGCTTTTAATATGGAACAAAATTATTAACTCAGCAAGAGGCTACAAAAGGAGCAAACAAACCTACAATACCTTAGGTTGGCATAGTGGATAGGTTCAATTTAAAAAAGGTCATGTAGTGCCTAGGTACAATTCTATGTTGAGTAAAGCGTTAGCGAATTACAATGCTAAGCTAATGCAGTGATAGGAAATGTCGTGTCTATGAACTGAGAAAGGGAAGAAGTTTGACGTTTAGTTTATCTAAAGTTTTTCTCTGTAGTTTTCGTTAAGAGTTTCACTCTTCGCAATGAGAGAATGTGTTCACGGCCATCTATATCGAATCTCTAAGCTCAGGGCATGGAGCGAGTCCTCACTTTTGTACTGATTCGTTATACCGTTGCATTCTCTGGTTTTGTCTTCGGGAATATGACGTAAAGCTAAGTGTACATCCCTTCAATGATTTTAGCATAGTATCAATGTTGTAGAAATCGGAGAAAAGTTTTATTTTGTTATTAGGTTTAATTTGTTACTTTTTCCACAAACCATTGGATTAATTTTTATACCCATCACGCAAGGTTGAGGGGTTTACACATTTTGTCCAAACATCTGCTACGCCCATATATATTCTTGATCAGCATCAAATTCTGAATCGATTTAATTATGTTCATCTATCCGTCTGACTGTCTGTCCGTCTGTGTTATGTCTGTTATCTCCTGGCCGCAAAAATGAAACTATCGTCTTCAAATTGGTATTGAGAAAATCGGTTAAAGGACAAGCCTACAGTCCTACATAAACTGAGAACACCTCTGTTTATCAAAAAGAATAAAAAAATTAATTCTTTGCTTATCATTTCTCATCAACTCCAGCAGATAAATTAACAAAAATTGGAAAGCGATGCTATAGTACCTCTACAAAAATGAAAAAAATCGGCCCGACCTGCTGAATTTTATTGTGTACCATAATTTCATTATTTTCAAGGCTTTCATAACGCAAGACTCAAAAATACCATAAAATATAAAAATTCTTGGTCACTTTCAAATTCGGAAAACACCTAAGAATATCCGTTTATTCATCTGTCCATTTTTTCTGTCCACGCAACCGTGTAGGGTCTGTTGTAAACATTATCCTGTTCGGACAAGACCGACCTTTCGATACCCCATACCGTTCCACCTAATACAGTTATTCACTCGTTTTGGTAAAAACATATAAAAAATTGCACACTATTTTCATGCAAAGGCATTGTTTTCATAAAAGTCCTCATCCCCACATCACATGACGTGATCGAAATTTAGCAAACTTAATTTATTCACCAAAAATTTTATTAGGCCAGAAATTAGGCTCTCTGTACATATAAGGGCTTGCTTATCATAACAATCCCTATATATGTTAGAATATACCTATGCAATCCAAATTCCCTATCATTAACTTATTACTAAGTTGCTACTACGGACCAATTTTCATCATAAAATGTTAAAAATTGAACCTTTTTCTAAAGGGCTTGCCATTCACGAGAACTCTTATATGGGAGTGGGATCCAAGACAGAGATCCATGTAGTTCAAATTTGTTCTATTTAATTTTTGTGCCAAATTACTTATATAAATAAATTTTGAACATAAAACATTAACAATTAGGCGTTTTTGGCATATGGCCAACGTTTCCTGAGAAACCTTTTATATGATGATATACAAAAAATAGATGTGCGCGATTCAAATTAGGTAAGATTGACTTCTATGCCAATTTACTATTATGAATCAATTTTCACCATGAAATATTTAAAATTCATCCTTTTTACCATCTTAAGATTCGGTTTTCGTAGGAATGTTTATATGAGATAGAGTTCCTTCATCCGAATCAAATTTTTCATACCAATTTAGAATGTTGAAGCGGTATTACTCAGCGAGTTTTGTCGAAAAATTTTGAAAATTGCAATTTTTTTCTATATGATGACTTTTCAAAATAAGGCGCCGCTAAAAATATGAACCGATCCGAACCATTTTCAGTAGGGCGCATCCTTGGGCCAAAAAACATTGGTGTAGTAGATTTCATCAAAGCATCGCAAAAATTGCAACCTTGCAAGGTTGCACACATAAATACATGGCCAGACATCACACGGGCAGACAAGCTCAAATCAGTTCAGAAAATGATTCTGAATCGGAATCGGTCAGTAATAAAATATTAAGTGTTTAAGTCCTTCTGAATATTGCGAACATCCGCGCAAACTTAATGTGCCCTTATAGCCATAAGTGGTGTAGGCTATAAAAAGATATTTAGTCTTTACTATACAACAGAAAAGTACTGAAGAAATTTACAGGATTTGAGATAAATTGAAAGTACAAAGTCGAAGCGGTAACGACCTGACAATGCCTGAACAGCGAGTTGTAAAGGAAAGTTTACATGATGCAATCAAGAGGGAAGATTAGTATATGAATTAATGCGGTCGGCGTGGAAATTCTCCTTTAGGAAGCATCCTAATAAATAGCGGTTTACACGCTTCGTACTTCTGTTAGATTGTGTTAGAAGCAAAATTATATAATCACACTATATGTATATAAACTTATTTCCACTTGTTGTTGTGACAAAAAATTGATACAAATTAGGAGATGTAAATAATATATATACATATAAATACACATATATATTATATGTCATTAAACAAATACATGCATATTAAAGTTAAACTTAAGTAAAACATATTGAAAAACGATTACAAAAACATTGTTTATTATAAAGCCACACGAATTTTATTCGCATAACGAAGTTTGTATCTTCTACGTTAGAAAGCCGATCTTTACTCTGCATAGAAAATTTCATCAGCGATTAGAATTTCGCACAAAGAATGACAAGCAATGAGCGGTTTATGCGATACGAAAAAAACAAAAAAAAAAAATATATATATATATAGAAGAAGAAGAAGAAGAAGAAGAGTTATTTCTTAAAAAGGAGAAACTGAACTGATTGAATATTGATTGCTGCAAATATATAGGATATCATGTGTTGTATATGCTCAAAGGGAGTTGTGTCGTGAGAAGCTAATTTAAGACTTTACGATTTGAATTATGATTAATGACTGAAAATTTTCGTCCCCTTTTTACACGTTGAAAGCAAAAAGCAGTGAGTTAAAAGTTGCAGAAGAAAATATTGGCGTATTGCAGGAAAGGACACAATTCTTTTCAAACTGAATATTTCGAGTTTTTGTTTTCGTTGCAAAACGTTTTCCTTTATTTGTTAAACAATGTTTTCAATGCGTTTCCATTCTTGTTAATATTTACTTTAATTCATTAGATTATCGTTTGCTCCAACTTTTAACCTTCCTTCTTACTCTCTAAATGAAACTTTTTAGATTTAAAAAAAAAAAAAAAAGGAGAAAAAAGAATGAAAAGTAAAAGAAAATGAAAATGAAAATGGAAAAACAAAAGAAAAAGAATACGAAAACGAAAAAAGAACAAATAGTTTTGAAAAACTGTCTAATTTCTTTTCTTGCGCTCTTAGTTTTTCTTCTCTCGCTCCTCCTTATAAACAAAAGTTCTATTTTTCGTCAATTCTCTCTTTGGCATTTTTTTTTTTTTTTTGTAACATTTAATCGTTTCGAAGACATTTATAACCTTTGATTTTATAAATATTTATGTACTTGTATAATTTTGGTTTGTTTTTTTTTTTTGATTTTTTGATTAATTAATTAATCAATTTTTTTTTTTTATTTTAAGTTTATTCTTATATTTATTTTTAGTTTTTAAATTGCGAGTTTATATGCGAAATTGTTTGTTTTATATAAGTTACAAATTGCAATCCACCTGTCAATGATCATTAATTAGCTAATATTTTACGTGTTGATGCAAATTTAGTACCGCCACGTTGGATCGTGGAGCCCACCGATGCAAATGTTGAACGCAATCGGCACATAATGTTGCACTGTCAGGCCCAAGGTGTACCCACTCCCAGTATTGTTTGGAAGAAAGCAACGGGTAAGTAATATATACCTTGTAGTTAAGAAAAGTTTTCAATCTTTGATAAAATTGCAAATAAATGCTGTAAGAAAAATAAAAAATGAATTGAAAATATGATAATTGAAATTTATATAAATAGATTTCATTTTTAATTTATAGGTAGTAAGTCGGGTGAATATGAAGAGGTGCGCGAAAGGCCATTCACTAAATTGCTATCAAATGGATCATTATTATTGCAACATGTAAAAGAAGATCGTGAAGGCTTCTATTTGTGTCAAGCAAATAACGCCATCGGAACCGGTATAGGAAAAGTTATACAACTTAAAGTTAACTGTAAGTATATCAGCCCAGTACTCGTATAGATTAATCTCTCGTACCGACTAAGATGGTTTGGTCATTATTCTTTTTACATTAAATTATATCGTTAATTTTGTATATATATTTACATATCTACATGCCTATCGTCGACAATCGACAATTAGGCATAATATGCATAAAATGTTTTAGACCAAGATGAGGAAAGGAAAAGGAATAAATTTATATATTCATATATATAAATTTATATATATATATGTATATATAATATTGTTTACAAGGCAATGTTACATTTGAAAAACGACTATCATGTTCCTTAATTTATTTTCGAAATCCCAATTAATTCGTTAACAAAATAGCGAGACAGTAGCCCTCGCAAACCCAACCTTTTTTTCTAGAAGGCTTTTGTAAACGCTTCTCCTATCGATCGCAACTTTGCCTATGAAACAGAAAATCAAAAAAAAGCAAAAAAATCTGCAAATTTTATAAGCATTTATTTAAAAACAGGTGAAAACATTAAAGTTGGGCTAGGCCGACAATTAAATACGCCACACCACATTGTCCAACACAATTCTTATTATCTTGAAAACACCCTGAAAATTACACCCTGTTTCTATATAAATTTACTAATATGGACTGATTATCCCCAATAGGTTCAAAAACTGAGGTACATGTTCAAAATTCAGTACAGTTAATATTTATATCAGACTACTATCATAGGTTAATTTTCATCATAGTATAATAAAATTTGAATTTTTCTGCACTAAAAAAACAAAGGTCTTCGTAAAAATCCTTATATAGCATATGGTCCAAAAAATAGGCCGAGATTGTCCAAATTTGCTACAGTTAATTTTTTCACGCATGGAAAATTACGCCTTTTTTCGTAGGAAGTTCAGTCATCGTTACGTGAGAGACAGGGACTCTAAAATTACCCCAGCCAGTCTAAAGTTTTCATGCAAATTTAGAATGCCGAAATATTATCACTTAGGCATTTCCATTTAACGTCTTTGCAAAATAGGATGTTACGTGGAAAGTGATCGAAAATGTAGAACGATCCGAACCATTTTGAATCGCTTTCGTCCTTGGACCAAAGCGTGTCAAATTGCGACTTATAACTGAAGTAAAAAATTATATGGACAGGCGCACAGACAGACTTAGATCGATTCAGAAAGTGACTCTGAATCATCACTATCAACTTAATGTATCCTATACCAGGAACAATGTACAGTATAAAAAATCGCATCGATGGCATTAATTAAAACTTTTTTTAAATTTTTCAAAGGCTGCTGTTGTCATTGTAATCATTATTAAAAGAAAGTTGCACTAGTGTATTCAATTCAATCAATTTTTTTAAAAGCTGTTCATGATACTTTTTAATTTCATTCTCTTTCCGATATTAACTATGTATGCTCTCTGTTTCATCATTGACGTGGTTATCGTCCACTTTTACTTATAAAAATCAAAGCGTCTCCATATTTTTCATCAACTTCACGTTCAGTGGCGGTAAAGAAAGGTGATTCCGCCCTCTTGCAGTGTACAGTGAGCGGTGACAAACCGATTAATATTGTATGGATGCGTTCGGGTAAAAACACTTTGAATCCATCGACAAATTACAAGTACGTAACTCAACGTAACCCATCAATATACAAGTGTACACTGTAATATACTCTCTTGTCAGTACACCTTCGTTTTGCTTATATAATGGCAAATTTTCTTACATTGTTTAATAACGTATACAAAAGAGAAAATGTTACAATGTTTATGTATGTATTCGTCGCATATTAATATTTTTTCGTTTTCCTTTATTTTAACTTTTTTTTAAATGTTTATGATCCTTTTTACCGTCGCAGAATATCAGTGAAACAGGAAGCGACACCTGATGGGGTGTCAGCAGAATTGCAAATACGTTCGGTAGATGCGACTGATAGCGGTCCATATTTTTGCAGAGCTAGCAATTTATATGGTAACGATCAACAATTGGTGCAACTGCAAGTTCAGGAACCACCGCAACCCCCATCAGTCCTAGAAGCTACGATGATTTCAAGCCGTTCCGTTAATTTAAAATGGCAACCTAAGTCTCAGAATGTTGTCGATGTATCTAAATATATAGTGGAATTTAAGGAGGTCGATAGTAAGTGTTCGCTGTTTCGTAGCTTCAAGATTGTCAGTCCGCTAGTTTCCTTAATCCCCGTTTATAATTTTGAATATAGCTTCACATTTTATTGAACAATGGCAGCATGTGGATATTAAAGATCCACCAAGTTACAACGCATTGATAGAAAATCTGAAACCGGCCACACGATACGCATTCCGCGTTATAGCCGAGGGTACGGCCGGTCGCAGTGCTCCTAGTCAAGAATTAATATTGCGGACCGAACCGCAAAGACCGGCTGGATCTCCATTAAACCTTTCGGTGAGGCCTCTTTCATCGACCGAGCTATTGGTCAGCTGGATTGCTCCTCTGGCCGAACTTAGGCATGGTGATATTCAGGGATACAATGTAGGCTATAAACTGTCTAGCTCTGGCAACACTGCCTACAATTTTACATCGGTGTCAGGTGACGGCGATGGTGGTACTGGTGAACTGTTACTAACAGGCTTGCAAAAATTTGCTCGTTATAACGTTGTTGTACAAGCTTTCAATCAAGTTGGTCCTGGCCCGCTTTCGGAGGCCGCCTCAGCTCAAACTATGGAAGATGGTAAATTAAATTTAATTTTGTAATTAAATTTTTACCAACATTCTTTTTCGGTAGTTCCTAGTCGTCCACCAGAAGATATACGGTGCGCGGCCTTGACTTCACAATCACTGCAAGTTTCTTGGCAACCCCCTCCTATTCATCACACTAACGGCTTACTCCAAGGCTATAAATTAATATATGAACCCATTCTCGATGACTATTCACCTAGTAAAGATGAAGTTGAGTCACGAAAAACCACTGCTCTAACTACTGTTCTCACTGGTTTACGTAAGTACACCAACTACAGTATACAAGTTTTAGCTCACACACGAATGGGAGACGGTTCGCTTTCCAATCCTCTTTACTGCCACACCGAGGAAGACGTACCGGAAGCTCCGGCTGATATTAAGGTAGTTGTAAGTTCACCCCAATCTTTATATGTTTCATGGTTGCTACCTACTGAACCTAACGGCGTTATAACCAAATATAATCTGTACACTCGTGTAGTAAATGGTCATGAAGAATTGAACAATGAGAAACGAAGTCTCCCTTCTCAGCAAGCTTATTATGAAGCCAAAAATTTACATCCACATATTGAATATCAATTTTGGGTAACAGCATCTACACGAGTTGGAGAGGGTAAGAGTTCGCGAGTTGCTTCACAGATTACAACAAATCGAGTGCCAGCTCGAATTGTCTCCTTTGGTGGTCCAATTGTGCGCCCTTGGCGATCAACGGTAACATTACCTTGCACGGCTGTCGGTAAACCAAAACGGGAATGGTTTAAAACTGATATGCCGCTAAGGCAAGGCGGTCTACATAATTCTCAATTGCTTGATTCCGGAGATTTAATCATCTCCAATCTTCAAATTTCGGATAGCGGTAATTACAGTTGCCAAGTCGATAATGGTATCGGTACCGATCGTTTAACGCACACGTTGCTTGTACAAGTACCGCCATCAGCCCCTGTTTTATACGTAACTAGCGCTACTTCAAGTAGCATTTTAATGCATTGGAAATGCGGATTTACGGGCAATGCACCGATCACTGGTTATACATTATATTATAGGCGAGCTTCGGGAAATATGGAAGAGATGCAATTATCGCGACATGCATCCAGCCACGAATTGAAAGGTCTTGTTTGTGGGAGCACGTATCAAATACATTTAACAGCTCAAAATAAAGTCGGTATATCACCAGCCAGCATTACCTTACATGTACGTACTCAGGGTCAGTCACCGGGAACACCTTCTACTACTACCCTAATTGCTCCCAATTCCACTTCAGTCCTAATCAGACTGCACACTTGGCCCGACAATGGCTGCCCTATGTTATATTTCGTTTTGCAGTATCGGCCAGTTACAGACGCGGTCGAACGTGATTGGATATTGGGTAAGTATCACGAAATATATACATATAGATATATATACCACATATATGCACATGGTATGTATACTATATATGAATACATTTGCACACATGCGATATATGTTTGACAAGTGTATAAAACTACTTATGCGTTACTGGGACAGAAGAAATATAATAAAAATTATTCTTTGTTAATCAATTGGTCTGGCGGAAAAAATTTATAATGCCCAACAATGCGATAGTCGATGAAAACTTTCATCGTGGCCGCAATATTTTCGGCCTTGTCAATCAGAAATTAGTATGAGCAGAAATTGTAGTTATACGGACATCAGTGAAAATCAAAAGACTCATTGTTGTTGGCTTTACACAAAACACGTGTAAACCTGCAATAAACAATTGAACATATTGACTTGAGATTCTACATAGACGTCCATGGCAAAGTTGCTAGCCTACGAAAAAAATAATTTCATCATTTCATAGTGTCCGCGAAATTTAAATGAAAAATTCATCTTATTTTTTATTCACAATGCAAGTATATATATATATATATATATATATCTTTAGCAAGTGTGGTCGCGCGCACAATAATTCACATTTTTATGTATATATTCCATTTTGTGTACTCGTTTTCGTTACTTTAAAATGCATGCAGTGTCCAACGCTTTGAAACCGCAACGTCGTTTTACTATATCTGGTCTGCAGTCATCGACTTTATATCAATTGCGTATGGAAGCCCATAATGTGGCGGGCGTTTCAGAGGCAGAATTCAGTTTTGTTACGCTGACGAAGGAAGGCGATCCGCCACCACCAGAAATAGTACAACGAGGACAACGTGGATCGAATGTGTTTTACGGAAATGTCAACCTGTTAATACCAAGCATAGCCACCTTGTCGGGCATGATTTGTACCCTAGCGTTGGTTTTTATGTGTTACAGACACAGTGAGTATAACAATAATGTCAAAGAACAATATACTTCAATTCAATGCGCTACATGCATACGCATACGTGTACTTGTACGTGCATATACATATATATAGCTCTCGTATGCATGATAGTTGTGTACATAGATGTGTATTTGAATTACTATAACGTGTTGTTGCCACTATTGCTTTGTTG